TAAATGTAGCGGAAAAAATTACCCCCTCAGTTCAGCTGAGATATTTTCGCTCTAAATTTAGCTGGGAATATTTTCCGTTAATTTTAGCGAGAAAACTTTCCCGCCACATTTAGCTGTAACATTTCCCCGCTAGATTTAGCGGGATAATTTTCCCGCTAAATGCAGCGTGCAAATGTTTCCGCCAAGTTTAGCGTGGAACGTTTTCCGCTAAATTTAGCAGGGACATTTTCCCGCTCAACGTAGCGAGGAATTTTTTCCGGTAAATTTGGTGGTCAATTTTTTTAGGTAAATTTAGCCTGGAAGTTTTTTCGATAAATTTAGCGGAGAAATTTCAGTATAATGCAACGCGCGCTTGCGCCCGGTTGCACTGTTCTCATGATGCAACGCGCTTGGTTACGTCGACGCCGACGGCAAGCCGCTCAAGCCGGATACGGGCGCCAAAGAGCTGCGCTCTGAAATGTCTATGGTGAGCCTGCGACACCTAAAGGGGGCTCGCCGATCCAACCGTTGTGCTCGTCAATTGACTTTGTTGAGAGCCGTTTCGCGGCGCCACTGTGTTGTACACGCGTCCCATTTTCATACCGCAGCAAAATCAGATTGTGGCGTTGCTCGCCATTAACGACGAAAAAGGAATTTAAGATCGCACTAAGAAAATTAGCCCCGCTTACTTTGTACGTCAGAAGGGGATATTGTGTTTATGTGCCACCTGATTCCTTTTTTCTGTGTTTATAATGAGTAGCGCAGCAGTCTCATTGGCTAAGCATGCGTAAACATCAGCTGGATCGGCTCACTCCCATTACGTGTCTCACGAGCCCTATAGCGAGACAAAGAAAATCTAAGTTGGAATTATTTTACTTGCCTCGTTCTTACTTGTAATGTATTAAATTACATTTTATTCGTTTCAGACAAACCACTTATTTATATATTTTTTTTTTGAAAAATCAGATTATTTGGCCAGTTTCCGATAGCATGTTAACAGATTTGCAAAATCCGCCTTTGTAATTAATAATGAGGTAGTCACGCTGGAGCCGCAAAAAACCCGCATTATCCACTGAGAGGTTATATATCAAAGTAGAATAGCTAACAGTTCGCGCTCAAATGTCTAAAGAACAAATCACAAAAAAATTTTATATAAAACCTCGAAGTAGAAGTGAACCGAAAACATGCTCGAGATTGTGATTTTGATTGACACTTCAGTGTTCTGGCGGTCCCCACTGCTTTTCCTGTTGCCGTTTTTTATTTTTTTTTATTTATGTTATTAAAAGAAATAACCTCGCATATTTGCAAAACCTTTGAGCATAGTACGGCCTCATAAATAGACGGATCATGACACTCATCAAACAGAGCGTTGACTAGGCAAGGGGCAGTGAATATGCGTGAACTGAACAACCATATTACGGAAGGACGTGAAAATTGGCATTTTAATTCCGTGACGCTCGTCAGTGATATTAATTGGTTTACATATCATAGTATCGCGAAGTTTGACAAACTTGCAATATTTATTTCACAATTATTCACACGCAGAGGCATGACAACGTAATGTTAGTGCTTAATATTTCAGGTTTTTTAATGACGATACAATATTTACGACGAATATTCCGCTCTAAAAGAACACACCAACAGTCACTGGATTAATTTAATCGGAACCGCTGTGCAACTAGCCTAGTTTAAACATTAACAGAGGGATTGGGCGAGGTGGCATCGGGGGACAGAAACACGATTACTTTCAAAACAAGCTAGCATTTTATATACAGTAACGATGCCGGGGTATAAAATGTGGCATATGCGTTATTTAACTTTCTCATTGGGGTTCGGTTTCACTGACTGTGCGGAAATTCCAAGATTTTACATATATTTACATAATGGAATTTAAGAAACGGAGCAAGATACAAGAACCCCTAATTTTCATGAAGGAAAAGTGAATTGTTTGTAGAACTGGTCGCTGACGTCCAATGAGGAATATATGTTATCTGCCCATTTTGTTCCACTTTTTTCACATGGCTGTTTTACAACCTCTAACATTGGTACGTAAGCCGTAATATCTACACAGTACTTTGCATGCGATAAATAAAGTAGTTATTAACAAACACGAACGGGTAATGTACAGGGCATCTGCGAGAAACCAAACTGTATTTTTTCACATCGCAAAAATAAACTAGACATCGTGGGGAGCTCGAGCTCCGTCACGACGTAGTTCCAGCCGTTCGAGCAAGATACCAGAGTTTCAACACCCACCGGGACCTTATTCAAAAGTTATTGGTGATTTTTTTTTTTTAATTTTCAACTGGAAAAAGGGGCCCATTTTCGAACGCTCGCGCTCTCGGTTTCTAGCGCCATAGAGCTCTATGTATTCGACAGCTTAGTCGGCCGCCATTGTACTATTGATATGTTCAGGAAATCGTTCATAACTCTAGAATAATATTAGGAATTGGTGTTGAAGATTTGTCATCTTTATTAAACGACGGGGGCTACGCTCTGGCGGAGTACGAGTGCTTCGCGATGTCTAGTTTATTTTTCCGGTGCAAAAAACAGGGTTCGGTTTGCTTGCGGACGCCAGTTACCATCGGCACGGAGTGAAACCCGAACGCCGGAACGCGTGGCCACCGATACAGGCTGCTCCACCTGGTGGGCCCCTGAGAACTAATAAAAACGCACCTGGGTGCGAGGGTGCGGGTCCTACTAAGATGTCCTCGACCCTCGCGTGGCTCGGTTAGGGCTCCCGTGCTTCGCCGGTGGCGCGCTGTAAGCTTCGTCACGCGGGGTGCTTTTCTGTAGCCGCACTGTCGCCCCATATCGTCCGGTCGACACCAGGTGGCCGCTTAACCTGGCTATAGCTCTTTGCGATAGGCCCTGCTTATACAGGGTGATGAATTTATTCCGCTCCCGAATTGATACGCCTGGTATATCGGTGGTTACCAAAGAGAGCGTCAACAAGCAATTCCTCTTTTTTTAAGAATTGACTGATAACCTCGCACGAAAAAATGCGCATTGCTCATAAATACCGAGGCATCCGCGTCAGTGTGTTGCATCTTTTTTTTTTTTCATTAAGAGTATGGTCGTGCGATCAAACGAATTTTATTTCGCGTTTATGACGTTTCGCTATTTCTCAGAAACCGCGCGTTGCACGTTGTTCATCGCAGCATGGTTCCGGTTACACGTCATCAAGCACTGCGGGTCTTCTGTGGACGAAATGTCTAAACTTTCATTTCGCCCTTGCGATACACAACGCGATAAGGAATGACAGCGCTGAAGAGATATCGCTGGGAATCCGATACGCAAAGCGAATGACAGTGCTTTTTCTATCGGATGTGACAGTGCTTTTTCTATAGGACGGCGCTTACAGCGCGCCATCGGCGAAACGAGGAACTTCCAGAGGAGCCGCGCGAGGGTCGAGCCCATCTTAGTAGGACCCGCACCCTCGCACCCCTGCGCATTTTCATTAGTTCTCAGGGGCCCTCCAGGTGGAGCAGCCTGTATCAACGGCCACGCGTTTTGGCGTTCCGGTTTCATTTGGTGCTGATTGTACAGTACCGGGAATAATGATTTCAGAAACTCAGGTAAAAGAATGCCTTAAAAACAGCCAGCCACGTAGACTTGTAGGGGCGCCCGGAGGTCGTTTCCGAAATTCTTCCCGAAAACGTCGGTGGTTCTCTTCTGAGCTCTCGAAGATCACCCTTCACTTGCTTGTTGGGAACAGAATTCACCATGGAGATGACTCACACCCCAAAACAACACGGATGAAAGTTGTAGACAAGAAAAGAGACGCGCTAACGACCAGAGAGTGCAAAGCGGACGACATATATAGCAGAACAAAAATTGTCTAAAAAAATTATAGCGGTTTACAACTCCCTGCAACGCCGAATTAAAGCACAGCTCTTGTGGAGGAGGAGAGAAGGGTACTGAGGGGAGGGTATAGTCTCCTCCCTCCTCCTCACCTCCTCATCCTGCAAGCAACACCTCCCTCGGAGCGGCGTCGCCGTCGGCGTAACCGTGAGCTCATGGGGCTCACGTGACGTCACCGGCGTCACGTGACCACACGGAGGTCACGTAACCTCATGGTTACGCCGACAGCGACTGCGATGGTGACGCCGCTCAAGCCGGAAACAGGCGCCTAGAGCTGCGCCCTAAAAAAAGAAGACGCCACATCCGTTTTGTTGTTCTTGTTTTATCTTGATTAATAATGTTTTACTGGTAGCATACAATATTCATACATTGAAAATTCATGTAGAAAAAGATCGCGTCCCTTCTGGCTCAGAAAACTCGTCTGCTATTGCCAAGGTTGAGGATGGCATACGAGGACGAAATATTACATTGTCTGAAGACTGCCTCTAGATGTACTTGCAGTGTGACCATGGCCTGAGAGCACGCCACCGGAGCATCTCGTCGTTAATATTCCCGGAATCCCAAACGTATATTTCCCTGCACCCAGATGCCCATATTCAGCGATAGCGTCTGCAACCGCGGCACGGCTCAAGCATACCGCCTGTAATCTTACGTGCCGCCATTTGTCCGCTGCTGCTCTAATTAATCAGACGCCTTTCTTTAGCAGACGGCCGCCGCAGGTAGGGATTTGTCGTTTTGGTTTTGAACGTTTTAATCGGGTAATCTGTGTAGTGAACGTTTTATAACATTGATGCACTTCCTTCAGGTCACCTTTCCAAACGATTTGAGTTCAATACGTCAACAAACCGAATTATACGCTCACTCCAATTAGGCACTGATCCCCGCTTTTCACCTTTTAGTTTATATATTGTTTCTTTGTGCCAAAACCGCAGATACGCGAGTAATCGTGTGCATTTCAATGACGCTAGTTGACTCTTTGCAGGCACTACACACCGAGTGGATTTGGCGATATTCCTGGTTGCATCAGACGGTGCCGGTGGCACGAAGCAAGACCGCCATGAAGAAGCCCTTGGCAACGGCATCGGGGGAACCCAGAATTCCCGGTGCAGAATGCTGGTGGAGTGGATAAACTTTTGCGGAATACAACCAGCATAAAAATGCTCACAATAGAAAATGCGAGCCTTACAGATACAATTGGCTGTCAGGTGTCTTCATCATTCGCGTCGCCTAACACAACCCGCATTACGAATTGCACAGACGAAGACGACGTGATGGGTCCACGGTACCATAAGCGCGTCCGCATCGCCATCATTATCATCATGATCGCCTTATCGGTGTTCGGAAACAGCGTGGTCTGCTGGAAGCTCGTCTTCAGAAGACGGCGCCGCCGCGTGTCCAAGGCCCGCGTGCTCTTCCTGAACCTTGCCATAGCTGACCTCCACGTCGCTTGTATCACGATGACGTCACAGGTCGTCTGGGAGGTCATGGGACGATTGTGGATAGCCGGCGACGTCTTCTGTAGGTTCCTCAAGTTTCTGCAGACGTTCGTCCTGGTGTCTTCTACGTACATGTTGGTTAGCATCGCCCTTGACAGACACATCGTCATCGTGACTCCACTGGCTCCGAGCCCAGATCCGTGGAAACTGGCGATCGCGACCTGGGCGTTGTCGTTATTGCCGTCGCTACCGAACCTCTACGTGTTTAGGAGCATGGAAGTAAGTCCCGGCAAGTGCTACTGCACGTCAATCTTCTACGACCGTCAGACACCCAAGTACCACCGGCAGGTCTACATGGGGTTTGTGTTCTTTATGGTGTTCATCGCGCCCCTGGTGCTACTCGTGGCCTTGTACGCTGGAATATTGTTGGTTATCTGGAGGCAAGGTGCAAAGAGCAGCACAACGGGACAGCAGACCGCCTCGTCATTTCCGAGAGCAAAGGTGCGTGTGTCTTGAGTGTCTTCACGCTTCGTAATGGCGTCTCCGATGGTTTGCCCACTTGGGTTTTTGAAAGAAAACAAATTGCTGTCTACGTTTAGCACTATTAGCGACGGTTTCTTTTTGTGCATTACCTAAATGTGACTTTCCAGAAATGCGTTTGTGGAATTGCGTTTGGTAAACTCAAGTTATAGCTAAATCCGAGACACAAAAGAAGAGGAAGGCACTGTAAAACAGCAGCAGACACCTTATGCGTCGTCACTGTTTTTACGTGTCAGTCTTTACTGCAGAGACAGATTTTTCAAGGGATGGTGTGTGTCGTTCTTCTTTTACGTATCGTCCTCTTTCTTTCATAATTTGCGTTTTGTTATGCAAAATAGCATTGGCGTGATTGGTGTTTTGTACGTTGTTACCGCCTTTGATCCGTCCTATGAGTGTTTTCTGCGAGCACGAATTTCCTTCCAGTTGACTAGTACACTCCAAAGCAGGGATGGGCAAAATACATGCAAATATGTAAGGAAATACAAATACAAAATACTTCGTCAAAAATGTATTTAATTACAAATCTAATTACATTTCTAAAAAAGCATTTAAGTACAAGATACAAATACAACCAAATGTATTTGGTCTCCTCCAAATACTTTTCCAAATACATTCTTCCAAATTTGCGTCAGCGACTTCAGGGCACCTGCAACGGGTTTCTGGTTATCTCATTTTTGTTTTGCATCGCACACTCGGGAGTTAGTGTGCGAGGCTCTAGTAACGTAATAGAAATATTGCCACGATCGTCGGCGAGCGACCGCGTGCGTGACCGAGTGGTTATCGCACTTGACTGTCGCGGGGAATGTCTAGGTTCGATTCCAGTCAGTGGAATGCTCTTTTATTTATTCGTTAAACATTGCGTTCTCGGCAGTTCGAGAACATTCTCGTCTGATCGAGTTTCGAATGTTGGAGTCGCCGAACATTCTAGTCCGATTATTCCAGAAGCCAACGCGCGTACGTAAGGGGCTCCGCGTGGCGATCTGCAGTCAGTTTCGCCCCAGCGTTCGACTCTGCTCTTTCGCCGACTTCGACGCCCGCGACGCTCTGCTGTTATCTGATGGTTCTTTTTATGTGTGGGCACAAGTTCGCCCTATTAAACGTTTAGTTCCTTCAGTTATTCGCCGCCTCATCACTTGTCCTTCCTGACAATATAATCACAAAAGAAAAAAGTGTAATCAGCCTGGAGGTAATAGCTGAAAAAAGCACAGGGCATCAAGCAGCTTTTTTTGCCGATTAAATTTTGGAATAGACCAACAAAGAACCGAGACGACCAAGACGCGCAGCACTAGCTAGAGAATTTTTTATTTTTGCAGCTCGCACCAGTTACGAAAATCTGGACGACCTGCGCATTTAGAATGTTCCAGGCAAAAATATGGATGGAAACCAGGCTGGAAAACATTACAGTTGTCACAGGCACTTATTGAGCCAGTCTGCCTGTGAACGTTGATTTCGTCACTATTCTTGCCCTGGACTAGCACCGTAATCACAAAGTCACTAAACGCTTGTGCTTGATTGAGAGACACTGCATTCGGCGCAGAACGTAGTTTTCTTCCTGCTCTGGAGAGTGCCTTTAAAATAAAGCCGGAGGAGAAAAAGAAAAAAAGCCCCATGGCCGAATAAAGGATGGAGACTAAGTCTTACAACCACATGCATAAAAACAAGATGTATTTTCGCCCACAAAATTGTATTTAATTACAATTGTATTTGAAATACCCACGTTTTAGTATTTAAATACACACGTCAAATACATTGCCCAATTTGTAATTAAATACAAATGCAAAATACACAAAGCATTTGAAATACGTATTTCAAATACTTGTATTTGAAATACTGCCCATCCCTGCTCCAAAGTAAATATCACCTTTATTAAACAATCGAACTTTTTTGATACATTAAAGTGTGCCTGGTGTTAGTGCCGCAAAATACTTTGTTAGCCAGTCACATTATGTAGTTCGTAGTATAAAATCGGAATCTGTTTATTCTCGTCTGCAAGCTGACATCAAAAGCGTTAGGTGCTACCTTTGAAAACCGCATGTTACTTAATCCCCAGAATACAAAATAACTGTGTTTCATAAAAAGCTTGGAGAAATAGTTTCTCATTCAATATTAGAGGCAGGCGATTCCCAGGGCTGCTTCTATCGGGTATCTTTCTTGGTGTATCAACAGTTGGCTTTCGTTTAATCACCATTTCTGCTTAACTTTATATTCGGCATGAAGAATGCTGGTTACCGATACTGACCTGTCGCCAAATTACACTTTTTATGTTGTTTACTGCTCTTTTATAAACCTATCGCAACTGAAATTTTCATTTCAACATGTGGATTCTTTTGAATGGGTCACAAACTATCGGTAAGAAAAATTTACAAAAAAAGTGAAAGCCGTTTACAACTCCCTGTAACGCTAAATTGGAGCGCAGCTCTTGAGGAGGAGGAGGGAAGGGTAGTGAGGGGAGGGTAGACCCCTCCTCCTCCTTTCCTCATTCTTTAAAATGCTCCAGGGGGTCACCTGACCTCGGGGGGAGGGGGTCACGTGACCTCGGGGGGGGGGGGGGGGTGTCGCGTGACTTTGGGGGGGGAGGGGGGGTCACGTGACCTCGGGGAGGGGGCAACGCGGCCTCGGGGGGTCACGTGACTTGGGGGTTATGTTGGGGGTCATCTTGGGGGTTACGTGTCCTTGAGGTGACCTCGGGGGTTAACGTGACCTTGGGAGGGGTCACGTGGCCTTGGGAGGGGTCGCACGACCTCGGGGGTCACGTGACCTTGGGGTGACTTTGGGGAGTCACGTGACCTTGGGGTGACCTTGGGGGTCACGTGACCTTGGGGTGACCTTGGTTACGCGGACGGCGACGCCGCTCATGCCGGAAACAGGCGCCTAAGAGCTGCGCTCTAAAACGAGTATTAAATAGGGTGTACAGCAATTATAACGAATTGAGTCATTTTGGTGACTGTGAGACGTTGCTTGAGCAATTTTTATTGCCTAAAGCGATCGTGAGAAGGGAGTAGAGGTTAACTAATTAATAACGTCGTTCATGGTGACCTAAATGCAAGTCATAAATTAAAGTTCCCGGATTTTGATGACTCAACTCGGGTCAATGAGTACATATTTTATTATCTTCGTGTCCCCATGTTTGAGGATTCAAATGACTAGATAAACCACATAAATTTGACATTCATATCATTTCAAAGGTTAAAAGCGTGAACTGATACACGGACGACACAAGAAAAGCGTACGAAAAGGGCAGTGACTGTCCTTGTTTTACGCCTCTTCGTGTTTATTTCATGATTTTATTAAAGAAACTTGCACTCAGCCAGACTGCCGTTCACCACATCAATATCAGGCCCTAAACCGGTAACATATCGGCAGTGCTATATAAAGCTTTATATAAGAAAACAGTTCCTCGTCCAACAGAAAACTAGCCAAGATCCTCACACACTTTTCACCCGTGTTCTTGGTAAAGAAAGCTTCAACGATTTATCCATCCCTCTTCATATGCTGTTTGAACAAGCCTTGTAAAATCTAAAAGCGGTTTGCCTCTGCCACGCTTACAGTTGAACAATATTATCAGGTATATTGCGCTGCGAAGTTACACTGAACAAACACGTAAGCTATAAGGCGATTTATTAGACAGAATAGAACACGACCTACTTACGAGGGCCCGGACTAACAGCTGTGTATTTGACCTTTCTTCTTGCGAATTTATACCCATTTTGAAACACGAAGAGTGGCCTTATAAGTCTTAGAAGTAACAACTGGACTACGCTTACGATGCTCCGCGAGATGCCCCCCCCCCCCCCCCCCTTAATAGTCACGTACTGCGAGCCTGTGCTCTATAGGCCTGTCATGAAAGGGACCATGAAATGAGTTTTTTTACTTCGGCCAAATAGCTTTTACATTAACCCTTCAATGTTCACAGAACACCGAAGAGGCATCCGTTTTCGTGACGGTTTGTTAACATCTACACGAAATATTATTAAAATATCGAGCTTTTGTTCTCCACCTCACCACAAAGCAAGCCGCTGCGTAATCATGAAGGTCGTGACGTTCTTTGGCACCGGAACCGGAGGTGCTCTCGGCAGTCGAAAAGTGGGAGCGTTAGCGGCGAGCTGGCTGTGTACCGGTAGGCTTTGGAACATGGTTTTACTGCGCTGGTGGTTCGGATACCACCGACATAATTTTTGAATCGGCGCCTCTCATCAGCGCCATAGCCATTGACACATCGCAGCTGCACGAAGTACAATTAGATATCTTGCGCTACTGCGACAGCATGAGACTGGTCCTATACTCCGGTACACCTGTTGGAAAGTAAAGGCGAGTCTTCCAACGAAGACTACAGGAAGGCTACGCCAAACATATGTTTGGTGTCTCTTAAAAGGAAACGAAAGTGGCGATATCACGTCTGATTGGTTAGAGGCTCAAATGGCGCAATGTCCCTGCGAAAACGATGGCAGAGACAGGTAAGACGAGCGGTCCCACCCCCAACCCCCCTTCCCCCCCCCCCCCCCCCCCCCCCCCCCGATTCTGACAAAACATTGCCGTTTGGTTTCCTTGCTCTTTTGTCTGAAAGCGGGGCGAATCCGTCGATGGACTCGGCGTAAAACCGATAGACTTTGTCTTATTTTAGTGATGGGTGCCATATGTACCGGGAACAAGGATCGGTTGCGTTTCTTAGTGTTTGTGACGTGAATGGATAATGTCTTACGAGTATCTGCCGCTAACAAAAGACGCTTCCAAATGGGTTTTACTTCCACGTCGTCGAGAGCGCAGTGGCGAGGCCGGTGAGGCTGCAACGGCGACACTTGTGTCCCGCGGGGTCGTGCTCGTTTTACGGTTTACTTTTATCTAAACGAAGTTAAGTTGGTGTCGTGCTGTGACCGCATGGGCTGTGAACGCCAGCGAATCACCGAGCGTTGAGATCGTCTCGGTAGTGCACGTACTACGTCGTGTTGACGCGGGGACACATC